GATTTTGTTTACAAGTCTTATTTAATCAAGAAATCACATAATTGTTTAGGCAGTGAGTCTCTTGGGAAATGATACTTGGTCTTACCACTTATTATTACTTCATACGATTCGGTACACTTGTTGGAGTGTTAACAATGGTGCAAAAGCATGAAGAAGAAGTGTTGAAGTGACTTGATGGTGCAATTTGATGATGCGTCTAGAATGAGGTTGGGCCAACCTTAAATGATGGCAGTGCTCTAGCTAGGACAAGTTAAATTTAGAAGCAATCAAGCTATATGTTCATGGAGCTCACGGTTTTGTAGGAAATCGGAATGTATGGTGGATGATGGTTGAAGTGTCACCATTTTGGTGTATTGTATGGTGAAGGATGAAGTGTTTAGGGGTTCTCTAAGAGAGGTTGGGCCAACTCTTTGACGAAGGAGGCTAGAGGAGGCTACTATGGTTGCTTTAGCCTAGAGTGACCTTACAAGAGTTTCTGTGCACAAAATGACATTATGACTTTAGTCTATTTCAAAGGTGATTACATGATGGAGAGACGCCTCTATTTATAGGCTAAGTTGTCTCAAAATGCGCAAAAATTGTAACCTAAAATTTTTATTAAGAGACTTTCCAAAAAAAATATTAATTTCCTAATTAATGACAAACACTAAAATATTCCTAAAAACCTATATTTAACTACAATTTTACAAAACTACAAATTTAAAGAAAAATTCTAAAATCATCCTAATTCTACACAATTAAAGCCTAGACTCATAAACACATAAAAGAATGCAAAATTAGGGAGTTATTAGTGTTATTATTGTGTTTAATATTGTGATGAATTATGTGGAGTTTTATTTTGTTATTGATTGAATTATGGATTATTGTTAATTAATTGTAAACATCTATTTAAATTGGATTTCCAGTAGTTTTAAAATTTTAAATTTTTTTTCTCATAATCCTGGCATCTCAAATTGGAGTGTTACATTCGTCGTTAGGTTTTTTCCTTTCCTTCTTCTCACTGGTTAAAGCTCGTTGCTTCATGTTCTTGAAAGTCCGCATGTCTTCCAACTACATGTACTTTATATATTTGTTTTAAAGGTATAATTTATTTGCATTGACAATGTGTTCACTTCCCTAAGTGTGTTTTATTTGAAGTGGTCATATAAGCATTGAGGCGACTGTTAGTACCAATTCAAATTTCTAGGTAATGGTGGTATGTTTGAAGGTACCTAAAATAAATAATAAAATATACTTATATTCTGAAAATTCAGCCTGCAGAAAGTTCCAACACGAAAGGAGGAATCTTGAAATTACGATGACACCACATAAAATAAAAATTAATCTTTCTCATCATATTTTTTTCTATTCTTCAAATAATCTTTCGTCTAGGAACCGTTTTAAGCTAGTTTAGAGATTTTTTAAATTTCGACACCAAGACAAAAAAGATTAAAAAAGTATTAACTTTGCAATTTAAAAAATTACTTTTTTCATTAAAATTTGTATATCTAGAAGGTCTTCATTTATTATTTTAATTTTTCATAGAAATACTTTTCATACTTCTTTTTTTAGAGAAAAACATAGCATGGTTTAGAGAAAAACATGTTAGCTTGGTCATAATGTTTAATCCTATAGAAAGTTTTTATTTCTTATTCTGATTTAAAATTGATATAAAATGTACTAATTAAGTTGATAACGAATATTAAAAGTATTTCTCTCTCTCTCTCACACACACACACACACACATATATATATATATATATATATATATATTCTTTTCTCTACTTTTCTTCATCTTATTAATTAATAAAATGATTTTGAACATCAATTACAAACGTTGAAATTCAAGCATAATCTAACTTACACAAAATGGTGAAAAATAATTGTAAGAAATTTTAAGCTTCTTTCCTAAATATAGAGAATAAAAAATATATCTAAAAATAACCAACATATATTTATTTACACATCTAATTCCACAAAAGAAGAAATAAAAGGAAAACTATCAACCGAGTAGCAGACTCTTTTACCGTCGACACATCCTTCTTGGAGTGAAACCCGCCACTCACAAGAAGGCTTACTAGCGGCGGAATCACACAGAACCGCCCAATTGCTGCCTTCTTCTCTTCTTCCACTTGAAATATTCACGGCAGTTCCCATGCTCAACACATAAACCACCAGCTTCATCTTTCTCTTCTATTCGGTTCAACCGAATAACATCAAGGATTAATCTTTGTTTGATGATTAAAATAAAAATAAATAAAGCTCGTAAAATCTTTAATTTGAATAATCACTAACATCAATAGGTCACTTTTTTAATGATCCCTTGATTTTTTTAAAAGCTTCGATTGACTCCATTCGCCTCAACAACCATAATATAATTAGACCAGTCTATCTTAAAGACGAAGGCAAGTTGTCATTCTTCTTTTCAATCTAGAAGAATGGAATTTGACTCAATGAATTGACTTGACAAGTTTTTTTGGCTACATATAAAGGAATATATGGATGAATGATGCATAGCTATTCTTTGGTATTATGGGTAGCTTGCATGTGCTTGTTCCTCTCCTTTGTTTGATGAGCACTGCATTAGGTAAATCAATTGTTGATGATGGTATGCATGTGAAGATTAAGGGTTCCATAGGAGTTATTACAGACAACAATTCTCGTAACGGTAAAGAGGATATAGTTGCTGTTAAGATGGCAATGGAAGATTTCTATCATTACAGCAATCAAAGTTTTGATTTACAGATAAGGGACTCACATGGCGATCCTCTTCAGGCTGCCCTAGCAGGTCTTTCTTCTTTCCCACTACTCTTTCATTCTTTCATATTCTATTCAACTTGGATAAGACTATTATAAACCCTTCTGTCATAATAAACTATTAGCTTTAATTCTAGACAATTATAATGAAATGTAAATTAAAAGAAGCATCTTATTAAGCCGTCAAAGATGAATGGAATAAATAAGAAATGTCTCGTTGTCAAGAATATATAATATTCTCATTATGTCATGCAAAATTAAACTAAGAAAACAAAAAGTTTTAAAATAAATTGTATAAATCATTAGTTCACTTTTTATGCATTAAAATTCAAAAATTTACATATTAAGAAAATTTAACACCCCCTAAATTTTCACAATCCAAAAATTTTCCGTTTTTCATATACTAACATGTTAAGGATTAATGAAATCTTCACTTTAAAAGTAAAAGGTTCAATATTCTTTATCAANCCCATCACATTGATGATCTGAAAAATATCTGAAGGATCTAACTTTTGGTCAGTGAAATGAATTTTTCCACTTAAGCCAGTAAAATTATTGAGTAGAACCTTATCCAGTAACGTTTGATCTTTTTTGTTGGTTGTTTGGATCATGGATAGAGCTAGAGTCCATGCAGCATCATAAGCACGTGCTGCAAATATCCCAGGCTCATTATTAAGCTCATGAGGGTTCTCTAAGCTAAACTTTTTTCTAAATTTAGAGTAGAAGTCCTCGTATTGAAGCCCTATTTCTGGGAAGTAGCTCTTTACTCCAACTATCCCTTGCATTGATGATATAGTAGAAGAGTTCAATGAATGGACAAGATTTGTAAGAGGATCAGTAACGATCCACACATAACCTTTCTCCATCATTTTCAATTCTTTTGCAGTTTGAAACATGTTTATGGCCAAAGAAACTGACAAATTAACAACAAAAACTCTGCAATAGCCATCCCTAAGCTTCTCTAATTCTTGAGACAATGAAGAGGAGCTTAACGGAGGGATGGTCAAAACATTGCTTATATGAATACCTGACACACTGAGATCTCTATAGAGATGAGAGAACATTCTCGTGGAAGAAGAATCAGTATCATCGTATATTATGTTAACGTTGTACCATTCAAAGGAATGTACAATAGCTGCTACTGCTTTCATCTGCTTAAACTGATTAGGTGAGATTTGCACAAGGTAGGGCCACTTCAAAGTTGACCAATTTGGAGTTGCATCAGCTAGAGATAGAACTGGGGTCACATTTTGGTTACAAATATCAGCCACTAAAGTTGTCTCTTTCCATGTATCAGGTCCTATAATTGCTTTCACTTTCTGTGTATCAATAAGATCTCTTGCTGGAAAGGAAAGAGTGAGAATTGTTATACATAGCTTAGAAATATCTTTATAATTATTTCAATAAATTATCGAAAAATAAATATGTTTTAATTTCTGCGAAATTAAAATCAGTGTGTATTTGAATTTTTAATATATTTTAGTCTCAAAATTTTAAAAATAATAGATATAGTTCTTTTATTATTAAATTATTTTAAGTGTAAAAGATGTTTTATAAGTTGATATTGAAATAAAAAATTATTCAACGTAGTAAATAACTTAAATCTCATATGTGCAAACCAATTTCGGTTTTAAGCCAAAACATCAGTGTTTCTTGGAAAACAAAGCGTGGATAAATCAAAGATGACATAATTGGAGAAGAAGAGAGGGAGGAAAGAAGTGAAAACATTTCATATCAGTTCAGGTGAAAATTAAGCTTCTGCTTACACATGAAAACATGTAACAGAAATTGTTGTAAAATCTGACACTCAAACTCTTATTTTGCTTTCATCAATATTTAAATTATGATAATATACAACTAAACAAATGCCCGCATAAGACTGATGGTTTGGAAATTTTGTCAGCCATTAAAAACCATTTTGGCTTTTAGAGAGGAAGACCGCCCTGACCGGCTGGCCCTCTAACAATATATATATATATTGTTAGAGGGCCAGCCGGTCAGGGCGGTCTTCCTCTCTAAAAGCCAAAATGGTTTTTAATGGCTGACAAAATTTCCAAACCATCAGTCTTATGCGGGCATTTGTTTAGTTGTATATTATCATAATTTAAATATTGATGAAAGCAAAATAAGAGTTTGAGTGTCAGATTTTACAACAATTTCTGTTACATGTTTTCATGTGTAAGCAGAAGCTTAATTTTCACCTGAACTGATATGAAATGTTTTCACTTCTTTCCTCCCTCTCTTCTTCTCCAATTATGTCATCTTTGATTTATCCACGCTTTGTTTTCCAAGAAACACTGATGTTTTGGCTTAAAACCGAAATTGGTTTGCACATATGAGATTTAAGTTATTTACTACGTTGAATAATTTTTTATTTCAATATCAACTTATAAAACATCTTTTACACTTAAAATAATTTAATAATAAAAGAACTATATCTATTATTTTTAAAATTTTGAGACTAAAATATATTAAAAATTCAAATACACACTGATTTTAATTTCGCAGAAATTAAAACATATTTATTTTTCGATAATTTATTGAAATAATTATAAAGATATTTCTAAGCTATGTATAACAATTCTCACTCTTTCCTTTCCAGCAAGAGATCTTATTGATACACAGAAAGTGAAAGCAATTATAGGACCTGATACATGGAAAGAGACAACTTTAGTGGCTGATATTTGTAACCAAAATGTGACCCCAGTTCTATCTCTAGCTGATGCAACTCCAAATTGGTCAACTTTGAAGTGGCCCTACCTTGTGCAAATCTCACCTAATCAGTTTAAGCAGATGAAAGCAGTAGCAGCTATTGTACATTCCTTTGAATGGTACAACGTTAACATAATATACGATGATACTGATTCTTCTTCCACGAGAATGTTCTCTCATCTCTATAGAGATCTCAGTGTGTCAGGTATTCATATAAGCAATGTTTTGACCATCCCTCCGTTAAGCTCCTCTTCATTGTCTCAAGAATTAGAGAAGCTTAGGGATGGCTATTGCAGAGTTTTTGTTGTTAATTTGTCAGTTTCTTTGGCCATAAACATGTTTCAAACTGCAAAAGAATTGAAAATGATGGAGAAAGGTTATGTGTGGATCGTTACTGATCCTCTTACAAATCTTGTCCATTCATTGAACTCTTCTACTATATCATCAATGCAAGGGATAGTTGGAGTAAAGAGCTACTTCCCAGAAATAGGGCTTCAATACGAGGACTTCTACTCTAAATTTAGAAAAAAGTTTAGCTTAGAGAACCCTCATGAGCTTAATAATGAGCCTGGGATATTTGCAGCACGTGCTTATGATGCTGCATGGACTCTAGCTCTATCCATGATCCAAACAACCAACAAAAAAGATCAAACGTTACTGGATAAGGTTCTACTCAATAATTTTACTGGCTTAAGTGGAAAAATTCATTTCACTGACCAAAAGTTAGATCCTTCAGATATTTTTCAGATCATCAATGTGATGGGGAAAGATTATAAGGAAATTGGGTTCTGGACAAATGGACTAGGTTTCTCAAATATTATAGGCCAAAATGCTACTTTCAATTTTTCAATGAAGGAACTTGGACAAGTTTTATGGCCAGGAAGACCTTGGGGAACTCCAAGAGGATGGATTCCAGCATTGGATAAACCACTAAGAATTGGGGTCCCCGTTTTGGCAACATTGAAACAATTCATAACTGTAATTCAGGACCCAACAGAAAACACCACCACTTTCCAAGGATTCACCATTGATCTTTTTAGAGAAACTATGGAGTTGTTGCCCTATCACTTGCCCTACAAATTCTATCCTTTCAATGACACGTACGATAATTTGGTGAAGCAAGTTTATTTGAAGGTAAGAGTTGTTAACTATAGTATTATTTGTACCAAGTCTTTCAATCTATCCTTTCTCATTATTTGTACCGTGTCAAATATATTTTTAATTTAGTTGTATATGTGTCCCTTTTTATGTCCGTACTCGTATCTGGACTCCATAGCTACTGACACTTGTTCCCACATCTTCATTTGGGTATGCATGAAACAGAATTTCGATGCGGTAATTGATGTGACTATAATTTCATATCGATATCAGTATGCAGAATTCACTCAGCCATACACTGATCCAGGAGTGGTGATGGTAGTTCCCCTTAAATCAAATGTGGATCATAGAGGTTGGTTATTTATGAAACCTTTTACAAAGACTATGTGGCTTTTAATACTGGCCATGGTTATCTACAATGGCTTCATTCTTTGGATGTTGGAAAGACGCCACAGTCCTGAAATTACAGGTTCCATGCTGAATCAAACTGGGACCATGGCTTGGTTGGCATTGACCCCTCTAATCAAGCTAGATGGTAATTTTAATTTAAGATTCTATGTCCTTGCATGCAATCATTTATGTCATTGTTGAATACTTAGCTAATTCTAATTTGGTTCATTTAACTGAACATAGGAGACAAGCTACATAGCAATTTATCAAAGATGGTTATGGTGGTTTGGTTGTTTGTGGCACTTATCATAACACAGACTTACACAGCTAACCTTGCCAGCATGCTAACTACTGAACGGCTTGAACCAACTATAGATAATATTGATCAGCTACGGAATAGCAACATCAGGGTTGGATACAGTTCTGGATCCTTTCTGAAACATTACGTGGAGAAAGTGTTGCAGTTCCACCCTGAAAACATGAGGAACTATGGAGAACTTGAAGAGTATGCTGAAGCTTTCAGAAGAAAAGAAATAGGAGCTGCCTTTCTGGAAGTTCCTGCAGCCAAAATTTTCCTAGCAAATTACTGTAAAGAGTTTATTCAAGCTGGGCCTTTGTACAAAATTGGAGGATTTGGATTTGTATGTGTACAATATTCTCATAGCTTCTATTTATGCACCTGCTAAGGATATAGTTTCTAATAGATTCTTTTAAAATATACTATTTGTTGGCGAAACACTTTTCATTGACAAGTTTCAGTCATGATGCTACTAGTCTCTTTCTTTGGTTATGGAAGTTTGTTTAACTCTTTGTGTTGTGTGTGTTAGGCATTTGCAAGGGGGTCTCCATTGNTGGTGAAGCAAGTTTATTTGAAGGTAAGAGTTGTTAACTATAGTATTATTTGTACCAAGTCTTTCAATCTATCCTTTCTCATTATTTGTACCGTGTCAAATATATTTTTAATTTAGTTGTATATGTGTCCCTTTTTATGTCCGTACTCGTATCTGGACTCCATAGCTACTGACACTTGTTCCCACATCTTCATTTGGGTATGCATGAAACAGAATTTCGATGCGGTAATTGATGTGACTATAATTTCATATCGATATCAGTATGCAGAATTCACTCAGCCATACACTGATCCAGGAGTGGTGATGGTAGTTCCCCTTAAATCAAATGTGGATCATAGAGGTTGGTTATTTATGAAACCTTTTACAAAGACTATGTGGCTTTTAATACTGGCCATGGTTATCTACAATGGCTTCATTCTTTGGATGTTGGAAAGACGCCACAGTCCTGAAATTACAGGTTCCATGCTGAATCAAACTGGGACCATGGCTTGGTTGGCATTGACCCCTCTAATCAAGCTAGATGGTAAAGTTAATTTAAGATTCTATGTCCTTGCATGCAATCATTTATGTCATTGTTGAATACTTAGCTAATTCTAATTTGGTTCATTTAACTGAACATAGGAGACAAGCTACATAGCAATTTATCAAAGATGGTTATGGTGGTTTGGTTGTTTGTGGCACTTATCATAACACAGACTTACACAGCTAACCTTGCCAGCATGCTAACTACTGAACGGCTTGAACCAACTATAGATAATATTGATCAGCTACGGAATAGCAACATCAGGGTTGGATACAGTTCCGGATCCTTTCTGAAACATTACGTGGAGAAAGTGTTGCAGTTCCACCCTGAAAACATGAGGAACTATGGAGAACTTGAAGAGTATGCTGAAGCTTTCAGAAGAAAAGAAATAGGAGCTGCCTTTCTGGAAGTTCCTGCAGCCAAAATTTTCCTAGCAAATTACTGTAAAGAGTTTATTCAAGCTGGGCCTTTGTACAAAATTGGAGGATTTGGATTTGTATGTGTACAATATTCTCATAGCTTCTATTTATGCACCTGCTAAGGATATAGTTTCTAATAGATTCTTTTAAAATATACTATTTGTTGGCGAAACACTTTTCATTGACAAGTTTCAGTCATGATGCTACTAGTCTCTTTCTTTGGTTATGGAAGTTTGTTTAACTCTTTGTGTTGTGTGTGTTAGGCATTTGCAAGGGGGTCTCCATTGTTTCCTTATGTAAACAAAGCACTTCTATATTTAGTAGAAATCGGCAAGGTATGTGAATTAGAGAACATAATGCTTGCATCAGAGGAATGTGAAGACACAAAAGTAAATGGAGAAACTGCAAGTCTTAGCCCGAATAGCTTCTGGGTCCTCTTCATATTGACAGCAGGCACATCAACATTTTCCCTTTTGGTTTACGTTTTCCGTATGAATTATGAAAACAGTGAAGAGAAAACAATTTGGAGACTAACCACAATGATCATTCAACAATGTAACCATGCAAAGAGAAGAATGTCAAGAAAAGTAAGTGATGTTGCAGAAAACCCTACGACCTCTTCAACCACACATGCTACACCAACTCAAGTTTAAACATGTCAAAGGTTGTACTTGGTTGAGGAGTGTAAAGTGTTGTTGTACAACAGGCAGTTACATAAAATGACCAAGAAAGAGTTATAACTTACAGCTGATGTAACTGATGCAAAGGAAAGTGTTGTTTTGTAAGTATCACTGTACAGTTCTTGTATTAATAAACACAAGTTTAAGTTCATAAAACTGAAGTTGCCTATTATGTTTAGCCCTTAATTAGCAGCACCCCTTCATAACTTTGACTGATTTATTTGGGAATTTCATTTTCAGTCCAAGAATATGTATCTTGCTGCAATGCACAACAAGGGTGTCCTATACCACTAATTAGCAAATCTAATTGTGTTCAGCTCTTAAAAATTTCTGAAATTGTAGAATTAAATTAAGGGACAATGAATGTTCAGCTTTATTACAAGTACCGCCATAAGTTTAGCTTTATCTTTCCGTAGTGAGTGATTATTGCTGGCTGCATTAGTTCAAACTATTATGACTCTAACTTATGAAAAATTAGTATAATTATGAAACTCTCGTATCTCATATCAGTACAAGTGGGAATGATCCAGGTTCATAATAATTATGAAAAACTATTATTGCCGTTTTTCATTTATTTATCCTAAGTATTAATTAAAATAAATAAATATTATATCTATATATCTATATATATATATATATATATATATATATATATATATATATATATATATATTATATATATATATATATATATATATATATGTAAACATTACTTTATAAAAAAATATCTGATTTTTTTAAAATATTTTTAAGAATATATACTTACAAATTCAACTTTACCGGATAAAATAATTGATTTTTTTTACGAGAAACTTTTATTAATTAAAACTTTATATTTAGTTGTAAAATGTAAATTTATAGTAAAAATAATTATTATTTTTAAATGGATATTTAAAAAATATATATTAATTTCTTTCTCATAAATATGATTATGGATTCTTTCTTTCACGAAAATTTTGGGCATATAATAATTTGGGTTAAATATGTTTTTAGTCCCTAAACTATTGGCCGTTTCTGGTTTTCGTCCCTCTTTCAAAGTAAGGTACAATTTAGTCCTCAATCTTTAAAAAAACGTTGTTTTAGTCCTCGGAATTTTGGTTTTAGTCCTCGTTTTGTTGACTAAATGAGGACCAAATTTTTAACGGTGTTAGTTTTTGAGGACTAAACGAACGTTTTTCTAAAGAATGAGGACCAAATTGTACCTTACTTTGGAAGAGGGATGAAAACCAAAAATGGCCAACAGTTTAGGGACTAAAAACATATTTAACCCTAATAATTTTTCAACAAAGTCACTATGATACACTAGTAAAAAAAAATTTAAACTTGCATAATAGGCTTCGGTTTAGGAGCAACCGAGACTTATCAGAACGCGGTAACATTTTTGAAATTTAGTCGAATTTTTCTGCCTCGGTTTAAGGGGAACCGAGGCATATACACCATATGATCTCGGTTAAAATTCCAAACGATGCCTAACACCCTGAAAAATTCCTGCAGATTTGACTTTTGGCCTGACGACCTTTTGAATCCTGATCTACTGCCTCGGTTTACTAGGGACCCAAGGCATATACACCATATCACCTCAGTTAAAATTTCAATCGATGCCTAACACCCTGAAAAAGGTTTTTGAATACTTTTCTCTCTTTATCCCTCATCCCGCACATGCCAGAAGCTTGAAGCTTTTGCCATTTCTCTTCACCGCAGACAACCTAACGTTGGAGCAAGGATGATCTGCTTCTTGAGCGGAGGCAACGACCTCACGGCGACGGTGTGGAGATGGTGCGACAGGCGACGTTCATGGTGGCTAGCAGCGACGCTCATGGTGGCTCGTGGCAGCGCGATTAGTCGTTCTTCTTCTTCCCTCTTCTCTGGTTCTATTTTGGTTGCAAGGAGGAGGATGCGAAATCGACGGCTCAGATTTGAAATCTCTGTGGTAGAGGCACGGCGGGACACGGTAAAGGCGCAAGGATTAAAACGCATTTTGGAGTTTTGTTGTGATATTGGGGTTAAAGTTCAGATTGAGAAAGTTAGGGTTTTGAGTTTGGGGAATTTCTTTTTGGGGATTCGTTCGTGTTGTTCTAGTTAGTGAGGGTTGTTGATGGTTGCGCCAGTGGAGTAGCCATGGGGGTTTCAGTGGCTAGCAGCGGAATCCTTTGTCGGCTGTGTGGGCTGGATTGGTAGAGGCGAGAAGAATTTGGGCTTGGTTGCATCTACAGGACCTACTGGTGATGGCTGCTGGAGCCACATGGTAGGTTTGTTATGGAACTTGCGAAGATGGTGGTTGTGATGTGTTGGAGATGAAGACTTCGCGTGGTGGCCTGTGGTGGTCCGGTAAAGGTGGCACAGTTGTTGGGTTGTGGTCCAATGTGAGAATGGAGTGTTGAAGATTGATGGGCACCTTGTTATCAAGCTTCACGAGAGTGCAGATGCCAAAGGTGCTTCCTTGCTTACTTCTCTGAATAATATCATTGATATGTGCCAAAAATACAATCTGGTGTGTTCATTTGAAAAAGTTTGACATTTTTGTTTAATCCCAAAATATAATTTGTCTTATGTGTTGTTGATTTCTTTGAATGTTTATTTGCTGTAGAAATTAACCAGCTTTCTAAACCATTTTTTAAGAAGACATCATGGCTGAGACCTAAAGCTACAAGGCCTTCGTCAAGAGACATATATTTGATATGTCAGGGTTTAAAGCCAGATGCTAAGATATAGAAAGCGAAAAGGCAAAAAAAAACACTCTACTGCCTCGGTTGGGACCTGAACCGAGGCAGTAGAGTCTAAGATATTGCCTCGGTTCAGAAGGAACTGAGGCGAAAACCCACCATTTTTTGCCTCGGTTGTGAACCGAGGCAAAAAGCCTACCCCTTTTTACCTCGCCTATATATGTCTCGGTTCAGGAACCACTGCCTATGGACGAAAATAATTGTTATCGTTTCTCTTGACTGCACTAGTGATATTTCTATTCTAATTCTAATATAACTATATATTTATGTACAAATTATCTATCTATCAAAATTCATAAAACAAATCATAAAAAATTTCTTGTAGCGTTTTATAAAAAAAGATGTAAGAAAAGTTCCATGAATATGACCAACAAATTCTAACAATAATATATCACCGTCCAACACCTGATTAATAGAGACATTTTTTTCTACTCATACCATTAAGGTGATCATTGTAAAAGAGAAGGCAAACACACAAATAAAAGACGAAAAGGTAAGCTAATAGTTTACCAAAAAGAGAAATCATACAACAGAAACAAAGATATTAACACATATATAATTTATATTAATCAATCCTAAGTTAAACAACTATCCCTTTTAGACTTGACCATTTAGATATATGTATTGATGTCCTCTAGAGGAGTTTTGTTGCAGCTGTTACTAATGAGGAGCATTGGTCTTTTGAAGTTAATAATTTTGATGATTCTACAAAGTGAAGAAAATGAAGACTCTTGTTGCATCAAGTTTAAAAGCATATATGCATAATGATCAGCAAAGAAAAAGAACAAGAGCAAGATTCAGACCGAACAACAGATAAGTAGACGAAAGATCGAACGGTCGCTATCAGTCAAAAGGTCGAACGCAGATGAAGACCGAACGGCTACAATTAGATGAAGGCCAAACAACTAAAGGCAGAACAATGTTCATGACCGAACGCAACTAACAAGACCGAGCGTTAAGCACCGAATGGTAGACTTCATGACGATTCCAAAGAAGTCAGGACACGAGCATTCCCAAGCAGTCAGGACACGAGCATTCTTGACCAAGAACATAGGACCGAGTAGTGAAGGGCATGTCCGAGAACACGTAAGACATGTCAAGACCAAACAGTTTGGACCGAGCAATGAAAGGCAGTGAAGAATCAAGTCGAACGCTGAAAACCTATAAGGAACCTAGACGTATGACAAAAAGTGATAATGACTTGAGTCGGATGCATTTGAAGCCCGAACACAAGCTGAAAGACAGACCGAACGGCAGAAGGCCATGAGGGCTCAAACTGAACGCTGGAAAGCTGTGAGCAACCAAGCCGAACAGCAGAGGGCGATAAGGGGTTGAACCGAACGGCATGAGGATGTGTCGAATTAAGCCGAACGGTAAAAGGTGATAAGGGTTTAAACCGAATGGTAGGAGGCTGTGATGAATCAAACCGAGCGGCAGAAGATGAAGAATTCGAGCCGATCGATTGAAGAGTTAAAAAATCCTAACTATTCCAAGTCTCGCATATAATCGATTATCACTTACAATAATCGATTGTCACTAGCAGTTGTAATGCGTCTTTTCAGTTTCGGACCAGTAGGCTATATACCTCTTTGCCAAACACTTTAGAAGACAACTTTGTGAATTTGAGAATACAGTGAAATCCGAGGAAGTTCTCTAGTGCTAGTTCCTGCTCTTTGATAAACAAATTTTTAATCCCCGAAAATGGAGTCAAAAACTTGTTAAGACATCGACAAGTGTACCGAATCGTATCAAGTAATAATAAATGGTAAGACCAAGTATCGTTTTCCAAGAGACTCACGACACTAAACAGTTATGTGATTACTCAACTAATTACGACTCTAAAGAATAAATTTTGGGGTTTTTGAATGCAAATGCAATAAAATAAACATGAATGCAATTCGATCAATTGAGGCTAAACACAAGAATGAATGG